AGCAGGCAGAGGAACGTGGAAGGACTAAACTGGCTGAGTCTTCTGGCCTCCATCTTTCCCCCATGCTGGATGCTTCCTGCCCTGGAACATCGGACTCCAAGTTCTTCAGCTTTTGGACTCTTAGACCTCCACCAGTGGTTTGCCAGGGGTTCTTGGGCCTTCAGCCACAAACTGAAGGCTGCACTGTCAGCTTCCCTAGTTTTGAGCTTTGGGGACTCAGACTGGTTTCCTGGCTCGTCATCTTGCAGAGGGTCTATTGTGGGACTTCACCTTGCGGTCTTGTGAGTCAGTACTCCTTAATAACTCCCTTTTACATACATGTATCCTATTGGTCCTGTCCCTCTAGAGAACCCTAGTACATTAAGGTGCTGGTGAGGTGAAATGATCTATAATTTTATGATTCAATCTCAGTCTTTTAGTGGGCTTCAGTCTCTGAGCTATAACCTTCAGAAGGTCTTTGTTTCATTTTGTTTTTCCCTTCCTTCAAGTGAGACAGGAAGGCTAGAAGGAGCTGGAGTTGGCTAATTGTCCTTCTCTCAGATAGATAAGGCTCTGGTAACGTTGGTTCTCTTGGAGAGCAGGCCCTTGATATGGAGAAGGCTTTGGCATACTTTAAATGGTTACTTTTCCCCTCACCCCTGCCTGAAACATACGGGATTTTTTTGTTGGATCTTCACTTTGAGGGTCTGGTGGGGTTCCTGAAGGTAAAATCCATGAAAGTGTAAGTGAGGGAGGCACATTAACACCGCATCTCCAGGAGTTTCTCACTCTCAAGCAAATATCAGAATTACTATTTAAGTGTTGCTGTCAGTTTATGGCTGTCATGGCTTCTGCTTTATGAGAGCTGACCCAGGCTGTGGTTCTCTGTATTCATTTGTCTCTCTAGATTTCAGGGTGCTTCTTTGCCTTGCGATGTCACTTTTCTGATGCATCGAAGTTATTTATTTTCCATTTCTTCAGCGTTTGTCTTGTAAGCATGGAAGTGAGAACTTTCAAGCACTCCATGTTGTTGCTGAAACTGGAAGTCCTCCATCCTTTGACATTTACTTTTGTTTCTTTGAAGCTAAGCTATGTTTCTTGTAGACAGCATATACAAACATATAAAAATTTGGTCTTGTTCTTTTTTATCCAGTCTGAAAAATCTGTTCCTTTTGAGTATGGCATTTAGTCTATCTATATTTTGTGTAATTATTGATATGGGTTTATATTTGTTATTTTTCCACCTGTTTTCTATTTTTCTCATGTCTTTTTGTTATTATTGTTCTTTTGCCCTTTTACTTCCTTCTTTCATGTTCAATGAATGTTTTGAGTGCAGCATTTTAATTCCTCGGTTGAATTTTTGCTATTTTTTTGAGTTATATTCTTAGCTGTTTTAGTAATTACAATGTGCATCCCAACTTCTTACAAACTAATTCAGAATAATACTAAATTAATTATAAACATACTGCTGCAATATTTACTTCTTTCCTCTCCCCCTTTTGTTCCATCATTACCATATCAATTTCTACGTGTGTTATATACCCAACAATACAGTGTTATAAGCTTTGCTTTATACTATTTTATGTCTTTTAAAGAAGGAAAAAAAAGTCAGAAGGAATACATTTATGGAGTCTTTTCTATTTACCCACATACTTATAATTTCTGAACTGCCTCCTTTCTTACTGTGGATTTGAGTATCTTATGGTGTTACTTTCTTTCAGCCTAAGGGACTTCCTTTAGTATTTACTGTGAGGTACATTTGCTAGCAAAACATCTTCTCACTCTTTGGTTACCTGGGAATGTCTTTGATGTCTTTGCTTTGCCTTCATTTGTGAAGGATAGCTTTGATGGATGTAAGTCATTTGTTGACAGATATTTTTCACCATTTTGAATATGTCATTCACTGCCCTATGACATCCATTGTTTTAGAATTGATTCATTCATGTACTTTCTTCCGTTGATATTTTTTATTTATTGTTGTACTTTCCTTAACAGTTTGAACATGGTTTCCTCTAGTTCCTTGAATGTATTTCTAATAACTGCTTTAGAAGCTATCTGCTAGCCCCAATATCTAGAGACACTCAGAGACAATTTAAATTGACCCCCTTTTTTTTGCCTGAATATGGTCATACCTTTGTGTTGCTTTGCCTGCCTTGTAATTCTTTTTTGTTGAAAACTGGACATTTTACATAGTATGTTATAGCAACTTTGGGTTTTAATTTTGAGTGTTGTCATTGTTATTGTTTATACGTTTACTTAATAACCTGTCTGGAATAAATCTGTGAAGTTTGCCTCTTCTGCAGTGTACATCCCTGAATGTCTCTGCTGCTGTTTTACTTGTTTCTTATTATTAAGCCTGGCTTCCTAGAGTTATTCCTGTGTCTGCCTAGATTAGTGCTCAAAGATTGGTCGGAGGTTATGCTCAAATATCTTGAGCCAGTAAGAGTTCCACTTTCTGCTGGCAGATTTGTGAGTAAGCGGGAGAGTGCATCAAAATTTCAGGCATTCCCTCCCACGTCTGCCCAGGCTTCTATTTTCCCATGAGCCCTTGCATCTCCACTGTACATGGGGAAGACTCCATTGGCCAGGAGGAGTGGCTTAGGATGCTGCAGCATGTGCATGTGACCTTTGTTCAACTCATACTATGCGGAGAGTTCACTAATCTCCCCGTATCTGCTTCACCTCCTGCAACTAACTCCCTGTTAAGTACCCAGCTAGCCACTAGTCCATTTCTTGCTTTGCAATTTTGGGCCAGAAGAGCTTCTGGTCCTTTCTGATCACTTGGCTCTAAGATCATCACTTAAATAATACTGTTTAAAATCAAGTGAGCCCCCTCTGGCAGTGACCAAAAATAAAGCTAATTTGTAAGATCTGGCTTGCCCTCATCGAACTATCAAACAACAGAACTCTGGTGGTGGGGCAGGGGTGCGGGAATCAGCATAAATCACCACAGATTCATGCTGATCTTACTGTAAGTTTAGTAGTTTTCATGAATATAAGCACTACTCAGTTTGTTGTGTGCCTCCAGTCAATTCTGAGAAATGAAATGGTTGTTTTCGACAGTTTTGAGCAAGGACTATAGCTGCTTTTTGAGGAAGTAGATTATCGACCTCTTCACACTCTTATGCCAGAAGTTCTTCTCTGGACATCAGGTTTTTATGGTGTTTCTCCTCAGCTGGAAGAGGGGATGTGTAGGAGGAGAAGCTCCGGACTGGAAGCTTTCCAGCCTGGGCTCAGCTGCTCACTGACTCTTACCCTTTGCAGATTTCAGTTCCAGTAGCTGAAAGTCAATGAGAGTTGGACAGGGTGATTGTTGCATTTCCTTCCATCCTGAAAATGTTAAGTTTCTAATGGGATTCAGAATTCAGCTAATATCTTTACATAGGAGATCTAAAAAAATAATTGATCTCACCCTTTCCATGATCTTTGGTGTCACTGTTATATAAAATTGTGTCTCCAGGGAGGTCACATGTGTGTTTCATCTAAGAAGAGGCAATGGTGCTTTTGACTCCAGTAGAGAGAGAGGGCTATTGTTTGTTTCCTTCCCCTCCCTCCCTCTCTTCTTTCCTTCCTTCCTTCCTTCCCTCCCTCCCTCCCACCCATCCTCCCTCCCTCCTTCCTTCCTTCCTTCCTTGCTTCTTTCCTTCCTTCTTCCCTTCCTTCTTGCGTTTCTCTCTCTCTTTCTTCCTCTCCCCTCCCCTCCCCTTCCTCTCCCCTCCCCTCCCCTCCCCTCCCTCCCCCTCCGCTCCCCTTCCGTTCTTCTCAGGGTCTTGCTCTGTTGCCCAGGTTGGAGTGCAGTGTCATGATCATAACTCATTGCAGCCTTCACATCCTGGGCTCAAGGGATCCTCCCACCTCAGCCTCTCAAGTAGCTGGGACTACAGGTGTGTACCACTGTATTAGTCCATTCTCACATGGCTATAAAGAACTGCCTAAGACTGGGTAATTTATAAAGAAAAGAGGTTTAATTGGCTCATGGTTCCAGGAAGCATGGCTGCAGTGACTTCAGGAAATTTACAATCATGGCAGAAGGCAAAGGGGAAACAGGCACATCCTACATAGCAGGAGCTTGAGGAAGAGAGCAAAAAAAGAGGTGCTGTACACGGTTTTATTAGTCCATTTTCATGCTGCTGATAAAGACATACCCAAGACTGGGAAGAGAAAGAGGTTTAATTGGACTTACAGTTCCACATGGCTGGGGATGCCTCAGAATCACGGTGGGAGGTGAAGGGCACTTCTTACGTGGTAGTGGCCGGAGAAACTGAGAGAGAAGCAAAAGCAGAAACTTTTGATGAGCCCATCAGATCTCGTGAGACTTACTATCATGAGAATAGCATGGGACAGACTGGCCCCCATGATTCAACTACCTCCCTCTGGGCCCTTCCCACAACATGTGGGAATTCTGGGAGATACAATTCAAGTTGAGATTTGGGTGGGGACACAGCCAAACCATATCAACTTTTGAACAACCAGATCTCATGAGAACTCACTCACAATCACGAGAATAGCAAGGGGGAAATCCTCCCCCATGATCCAGTTACCTCCCACCAGGCCCCTCCTCCAACATTAGGGATTAGAATTTGACATGAGATTTAGGTGGGAACACAGATCCAAACCATATCAGCTACCATGCCTGGCTAATTTTTTTTTTTAATTTATAATTTTTTGTAGAGATGGCGTGTCACTGTGTTGCCTGGGCTGGTCTCATTCTCTTTGCTTTGCTTTTCCCTCTTCCTCTCCTCCCTCCCTCCCTCCCTTCCTTTTTTCCTTCCTGACATTGTAAGCCTTGGCTATGAACCAGGCACCGTACTAGGTGCTTTTTACATGCATGATTTCATTTACTTCTCAAAACAACCTCATCAGATAGGTCCTATCCTTAACTACATTTTACAGATTAGGAATCTGAAGAACAGAGAAACTTCCTGGCATGTTCAAAGTTAAGTAGTTATTTAGTCTCTACCTCTCAATCCCCTTCTACTCTACTCCACACATAAATTAGACTTTCGGCATCATTTGTCATATTTTTTGGGGGGGTCTACAGTAATTTTATTGTAACAGAGAAACCAGGCCATAATAAGTGTACATGATTAGAGCAGATGGTGGTTCTTTCAGGTGGGTGAAGCCTGAACCCAGCTGTCAGCACACAAAGCCTAGAATGTCCTCTTTCCTGGTACCACCCTGCGCTGCTGGACTCATAACATGAGAGGAGTGACTTGAACAATCACATACAACAAAGGGAGGCGGTCCAACTGGGCAGAGGCCACATCCCAACTGAGGAAAATTACACAGTCATTCAAGAAGATACTGAGATAAAGGACAGTTACCTACTCTCCACTATTCTTTGCTGAGAAAGGTGAGGGTATGACGTTAGCAGAAAATTATGTTCTTTGTTCTTAAATAAATCCCAATAGGATGGGGCTGATGGTCAGTCAAGCAGTAGAATGGGATTAAAATCTGCATTAGTTAAAAATCATTGTGCGTAAGTTAAAGAACAGCAAAGACAAGGGAGAGAAGACAGCCTTCTCTTTTTCTTAAATAAGACAGGAAACTGCATTGTTTTCCTGGCTGTAGTGGCAGCAGACTCACTGGTTTACATAAAACATAATTTCTGCAATGCAGTCTGTTGATGAGGTTGCTCCATGATGGGAGGACAGACACGAGGCCAACTGTGTGTGACAGAACTAGGTCTTCTCTCAAAGCCTCCAAAGTGTGCTATTTCTCATGAGGAAACTGACACTTCAGTTAAAGCTTCTGAAATATTGCAATGGCATAATTGACAGGTTTTTTGGTGCGATGACTTTCTTGCACATGTAAACTCTTTGAGAAAAGTTGGAGATGAAAGGACGGGAGAGAGTTTGATTTAGAGCCACAATGTTCCAGATGCCAGCGCCTCTGCCCTGTGTCGCTATATGCTCTTTTCTGAGAAACATTCAATCGCTGAGTGTTATACACTGTGGTTGAAAGAAATCATCCACTCACCACCATCCACCCTCTCTCATTCTCTGTGTGAAGCTCCCAATAGCAGAGGCTGAAGACAGAAAGGTTGTCTCTGTTTCCTCACACCGCGGACATTACTTGGTAACCTGGTGAATGGCACGGGCAAGGTAGCCCACGTTGCCGGAGGTGACCCCTGCCACAGAGATGCAGCTGTCCTTTGTCATGTAGACGGAGAACTCCTTGGTCAGCCACTCCACCTGTTCAGGCTTTAGCCCTGTGAAACAAAACATGCCAATTTGGTCGGTGATGTGTTGCCAGTTGTGGGTGGAGCTCTCCTTCTTGAGGCTGGAGACCAGCTGAGTTGGCATGCTAATGATGCAGTTGGCCATACCTTTCTCTTCTTGCAACCGTTGTTTTAGCAAATCTGGCATGTTCAGAATGGTAGAAGCAATCCGGGCCCCACTGAGGGGAGGGTTGGAATACATGGGACGGATCAAGATCTTCAACTGTGACTCTAGTCTTTTGGCTTCATCCACATCTTTGTTAATCACGGTGAAGGCTCCTGCACGCTCACCGTATAAGCCCATGTTCTTGGCATATGATTGACAAAGTAATGCCCTGTTCAATGAAGTGGCGCACAGCCCAGGCATCCTTATGACCATCACCACTGGCAAAGCCTTGGTAGACCATGTCAAAGAACGCAAAGAGATTCCTTGTCTTCACCACTGTTGCTGTTTCCTTCCACTGTTCCAGACGCGGGTCCACTCCCGTGGGATTGTGGGCACAGGCATGCAGAAGAAGAACGCTTTGCTCTGGTATTTTTCAAATGTCCTCTATAGCACCTGTGAAACCAAAACCACAAGTCTTGGGGTCGTAATACCGATAACCTCGTAGCTGCATGCCAGCATCCCTGAAGATGGGTGTGTGATTTCCCCAGCTTGGTTTGGACAGAAAGACATCTTGGCTGAACTTGAAAAAATCTTTGCAGAAAACTGGCTCCGATCCTTAAGGTCCCGGTTCCAGAAATGGTCTGCACAGTGACAAACCGGCCACTTTTTAAGACTTTGCTATTCTCACTCAGGGCTGGTTGTGCAGATGCCTTGCAAAATTCAGTCCCCCAGTGGGCAGGTACTCCTTGTCCAAACTTTTTGCGGCAATCTGGGCCTCTGCCTTGTGGACATTAGGCAGCACGTAAGGCTTTCTGTGATCATCCCAGTAGGCACCAAATCCCGGATTCACCTTTTTGCTGTTGGTGTTCCTCTTAAAGGCTTCAGTGACTCCCAGGATGGGATCTGGAGGTCCCATTTCCATATGGGTCCACCAGGAGCTGGCTCTGGCAGAGGCTGCGGTGGCGAGGCCTGGGAGGAAGGCAGCACGATGCCGGAGAGGGTGCGGCGGGAGTGCAGCAGGGCCATGGTGGGTGGTAGGAGGGCAATGGGCAGCCGCAGGAGGACATGCTCATGTTTTTAAGAGAAGTGGTCAGGAGTTGAGAGATGGGGAGGCTCCTCTGGCTGGGAAACACCAGAGATGCCTTTCTGCAGGAGGCAGCATGAGAACTGGATCTGGCTTTAGATTTTAAACAGAGACGCAGTGAGGGCCCTGGAGGCAGGGAAAGCAATGTTAGTATGACGCTGTTGCTAGAAAGCAAATGCTGGGCTCTTTACAGCCTATTGTGGGTGAGTAGTGAGACATAAGCTTGGAAGGTGAAGTGGCTTGGCTGTGTCCCCACCCAAATCTCATCTTGAATTGTAATTCCTACAATTCTCATGTGTCATGGGAGAGACCTGGTGGGGGGTAATTGAATCATGGGGATGGGTCTTTCCTGTGCTGTTCTCATAGTAGTAAGTCTCATGAGACCTGATGGTTTTATAAAGGGGAGTTTCCCTGCACAAGTTCTCTCTTGTGTGCCCCCATATAAGGCATGCCTTCTGCCCTCCGCCGTGATTGTGAGGCCTCCCCAGCCACATGGAACTGTGAGTCCATTAAACCTCTTTTCCTTTATAAACTACCCAGTCTCAGGTAAGTATTTATCAGCAGTGTGAGAACAGACTAATATAGAAGCGTTGTTTTATCAAAACAAAGCATCTTTCTAAAAATGGTGATGTTCCCTGAGAAACTTTTGATGGTAGAGGAATTAGATTATTGGGAAGCACCCCCTAATGAAACTGCCAGGCACTTTTCTTTGTCTTCACTGCCTGTAGGAGCTGGTTGGCTCCACCAAACACTAGGCCTAGAACTTTCTAAGCAATTTATAACTGTAAAATAGTAGCTATAAAACATTAATTTCATCATTCCCAGATGATTAGATAAATGATTATTCATTGTGAGGTCTCTAAGTTATTTTTAGCTGAAGTAACAATGTGGCTTCATGAGGGGTTACCCTTGAATATTTGATGCCTTTGATTTCTCTATTCCGCAAACAGGGGATTCAGAAATTTGGGTTAGCCAAAACAATATCCCACATAAGGTGGCATCAGGTACTCTGTCTCTCAGAGGCTATTTGTGGGGCAGGGGTAATGGAATGAAATCATGCATTCAAGGCCAGGAGTGGTCACCCACAAGCTTGTGACTTATAGGTCAAGTCACCCTGAGCTATAGTCACCTCATTGGTAATACATGGGACTGGCTCTATGACTTTAAGCTCTCAGGTCTGTACCTCTGTGCCTCCATCTGAATGAGGAAGTCTGTTCTTGGCTGCTGGATGGATGGTAGAAAGTCACTCACTGCTCATGTCTTACTTGTCCTGTTTTGCAAGGACTCTAGATTTGTGAATCCCTTAAAGAAGTACATGGCTTTCATAAACATCCTCAAGGAGGCCCTGCATTCCAGCCTAATTTTTCAATTGCAGCTATAAGCATTTGATATGAATTGGCTCCTGCAATCTCATAGAAGATGTCTCCTCCTCAAACATGCTGACAGAGGAAAAAGATGGAAGATATAGATCCAGGGTGATTTCTCTCTGGTGTTTGCTGGCTCTGTAGAGCTGGCCAGCCGTCTGCTCCGGGCTGCTGTTTGAGTTGGCCTTTGCTTGTGAGGCTCTGGGAGGTGGGGCAGGTGCTGCCATTCTGTAGGCAGCCTGAGAGAGTCAACATTGAAAAGTCTGTTTGGTTTTTGGCCTCCACCTGTTGGAAACTCTGCAATTGTTACCATTCATAATAAGGAAGAAGGAACAGCAGAGGGATTCCTGGACTAGAACAGTGAATGTTTTCACTGTTCCTCTGAGGGGACCAATTAATAGGAACTGGGCTTCAGTTAGAATTGAAAGCAGCAAGTGAACAAGAAAAAACAAAGAAGCCACAGATGCCAGGAGGAAGGATGCCATGGAGCGTCAAGGTGACTCTGGAAGAGGGTAGCACGCCTCCTTGGAAGTGTCCCTGTGCCCTTCAAGACCATTTTCTCCTTCCCCTCCCACTGATTCATCCCTGCCCCACCCCAAAGGAGGCAGCAACTCACAGCACAATCATCTAAATGTCACTTACCCCAATGGTCAGCCCAAACCCTCCAGCCATTACCTATTTTCTTGGTTCATAGAGGGAACAGGGGCAGTAATCTGGGAGCTCTGCATCCACTTTCCTCTCACTGCCTCGCTCCCATCCTCACTCATCTTTACCTCCTCCCACCGCTTCTGAGGCTGAGGTCAAGAATTTGATGAAGAGAGAAAGGACGGAGAGTGATGAGGGCTCAGTGTCCCCGTATAAGAAGAGGCAGGAAGGACTGGAGAGCACAGGGCTTAGGAGGAGCCCCTAAGTCTCCAGTCTCCTGCCTTGTTCTCTTCCTCTCTCACACTGCCAGCCTCCCTGAGAGTGGTGCCTCCTTACTTCTCCATTCTGTTCACTCCCAAACCATTGTGTTGGGGCTTCCAGCACTCATCCAAAAACAAAAAACAAAAAACAAAAAAAAGAAAAAGAAAAGAAAACAGAACGCAATAAAAAATACCCTGTTCTTGGCCCGATGACCTTCAAACTGCCAATTCCAGGCTTTGCCATATGTATTTACCTTTCATACGTTCACTCAACTATCATGACTTAGATACCTATTACATGCCAGCAGCACAGGCCGGGAGGACACCAAGACACCTCTAATAAAACCCGTGTCCTTTGGATGAATACTCCATGAGGTTTTGTCTGCCAATTGCTTTTCAGTGTGGTTGGCTTCATCTACCCTTTTCTGGAAGTTGACTGCGTCTTGGCAGGCAGAAGGAACCAGAGCCCGCTGGCAGTCTGGTGATCACAGAGTATGGGTTGGAGAACATGAAAACAGCTTAGGGCTCTAATGACATACATTTCCTGGTATTGACATGACCTAACAGTGGCCTCCCAGGGTGCCAGGGTTTGCAGCTGCTGTCTGGGGCTACAGGCCCTGGTGCTAAACCAAGGCCATTGTCCCAGCAAGGAGCACAGTGGTAAGTCACTGGCGGCTGGACAGGCTGCACAGCTGGGGAGCATGGCCCAAGTGAACTGAACACTGGTCAAGGTCCTGTCCTTCTTTCGTGGCTACCCTGCCTCTGTCACAACCCGCATCTTACTGAACTACAATTGCCAGTTCTGTGGCTGATCCCCTGTGAAACTGAGAGCTCCTAGGGAAGAGCCTAGGTCCAGACCAGCTGTACAACTTGTACGGTCCAGTGTAAAATACAATGTATATGGTCCCTTGTTCAAAAATTATTAAGAATTTCAAGAAGGGGACAGGAGAGCACTAAACTATATATGAAGCCCTTCTAAGTGAGGGGCCTATGTCAGGGGTTCCCAACCTCTAAGCCATGAACCGGTACTGGGGTACTGGTCCACGAACCCTATTGTGAACTGTGCTTGTGAGGGATCTAGTTTGCACACTCCTTATGAGAATCTGACTAATGCCTGATGATCTGAGGTGGACGAGTTTCATCCTGAAACCATCCCCACCCTTCACCCTCACTCCCGGTCCATGGAATAATTGTCTTCCATGAAACAGGTTCCTGGTTCCAAAAGGGTTGGGGATTGCTGGCCTATGTGCCTTCGTAGGTCACATGCCCAGGAAGCTAGCCTTGCCTAGTTCCTATTCATCACCTAGAGAGTGCTTAATAAATCCTCATTGAATAAATGAGCTTGGGTTTCTCCTGCAACACTGAATCAGGAAAGCTGTGTAGTCATGGGGAAAGAGGAAGTGGAGATCCTTATCCCTCCCGTGGTCCAGGCTAGCTACATAGCCTGGGGCCAATCAGTGAATATCAATGGTGCCACAGTTTCCCACATCCATACATTGGAAGAACCATCTTTGCCCCATTGCTTTTCTGCTCTGGGCCAAGAGTAAAAGAGGCACAGTGTACAAGCTGAACTTTCAGCCCTTAATGTGATGGCTCTGTGGTTCTGAAGGACGCCATGAGGTATGGTGTTCTGTGAAAGAAAATGCCAGTTCTGAGATGGGCTAAAGGGCAGTTTCTTTTCTCTACCTCGGAAGAGGGCTTAGTGTGTGGGAGGGGATGCTACTACATAAACCAGCACCAGAGAGATGGGCTTCCCAGGGAAGAGCCGGGGCACTCTGCAGTGTCTGGGGAAGGGTTCTCCGAGAATGTGGAGACATCCCCATAGAAGCCAGAAGATGTGGTTAATGTTTGTACCACGAAAGGTCTAGGTGTTCTGAGGTGGCAAAAGGGCAGGTGCTTCTCTTCCCTATTAAATAGGTGGTTAGACTCAGACACAAAGTGACTGATGGCATCAGAGACTACGACAGCTGCATGGAGTTTGGTGAGAAATCATCCCCAAAGCAGCAATTTTTTGGATGAGTCTCAGCCTTTCTGAGCCTCCATTATTCCAACTGTGAAGTAAAACAATTAAAAATAACAAAAGGCCGGGCACAGTGGCTCATGCCTGTAACCCCAGCACTTTGGGAGGCCAAGGTGGGCAGATCACAAGGTTAAGAGATCAAGACCATCCTAGCCAACATGGTGAAACCCCATCTCTACTAAAAATGCAAAAAATTAGCTGGGCGTGGTGGTGCGTGCCTGTAATCCTAGCTACTCAGGAGGCTGAGGCAGGAGAATCGCTTGAACCCAGGAGGTGGAGGCTGCAGTGAGCTGAGATTGCGCCACTGCACTCCAGCCTGGTGACAAAGTGAGAATCTGTCTCAAAAAAAAACAAAACAAAAAAACAATTTGATGAGAGCAAATACATTTGGCATTTTTAATGCACCAACTACTATTCTAAGCCTTTAAAGATACACATTTATTTCAATTGGTAGAACACCCCGTGATGCAGAGCTGTTACCACCCACATTGTACTGATGGAGAAAGTTCCTGTAACTTGCCAAGGATGTAGCTGGCAAGTTGGAGCACTGAGATTCAAACTCAGGACTTTGGCCTCCAGAGTCTGTGCACTAACCACTAAAATACCTCTGAGACTGTGAGGGGCAAATGAGTGACAACACTTTGCTTTAGAAGTGAAAGGCTTTCTAAATGTGCAAGGATTAACAGCAATGAAAACAATAACAATGGTAAGTACTTCTGATACCTCTGACTTGATTTCTGTGGTCACAGTTTTCCCCTCTGTAAAATGGGTGGGCAGGCTTTGCATTGGATAATCTCTGAGGTCCGTTCCACTTCTCAGATTCTGATAATGAAGGGTCCTTCTTTCCTCACACAGGGCTGAGAGGAGGGCAAGCCACCAGCTTGCAGACCTTGGGGGCTGACACATGGAAGCATACCCAGAACAGAGCTGGAAAAGTATACCCAGAACAGAGCCCCACTGTGTGCCGGTCCCCAAGGGACACAGTGGGGATGCACCAGAGGGCAGGCCTCAGAGCCCTTGACAGCCTTCTGAAACTCTGGTTGGGTGGAGGGCGGTTGTGGGCTAGTGGCTGGCTGGGCTGCAAGGAGAGGAAAGCACTCCACGCAGCAATTTATTTTATTTATTTATTTATTTATTTATTTATTTATTTATTTATTTTGAGACGGAGTTTCGCTCTTGTTAACCAGGCTGGAGTGCAATGGCGCGATCTCGGCTCACCGCAACCTCCGTCTCCTGGGTTCAGGCAATTCTCCTGCCTCAGCCTCCTGAGTAGCTGGGACTACAGGCACGCGCCACCATGCCCAGCTAATTTTTGTATTTTTAGTAGAGACGGGGTTTCACCATGTTGACCAGGATGGTCTCGATCTCTTGACCTCATGATCCACCCGCCTCGGCCTCCCAAAGTGCTGCGATTACAGGCGTGAGCCACCGCGCCCGACCCCACGCAGCAATTTATAACGGCTGCTCAGTAAGTGCTAATTTGTTTCTCTCCACCTTGGGAGAGGGCTTAGTGTGTGTGTGAGGGAGATATTACTACATAAGCCAGCACAGAAAGATGGGCTTACCAGGGAAGAACTGCGGCACTCTGCAGGGGCAGTGTCTGGGGAAGGGTTCTCCAAGAAGGTGATGTTTCAGAGGGGCCTGGATGGATGAGCAGAATTTCAACAGTCAGAGATGTAAGGGGAGGGTGTTCCAGGCAAAAAGCAAGAACTCCCAGCAGCTATGAAGAGCACCTAGTGACTGCCAACAGCCAGCGTGTCCAGAGCAGAGATGTTGTGTGTGTGTGAGGGGGAGAGGGTGAGGCTGGAAAATCAGCTTGTGCCTGGAGCGGGCAGGGCGGGCCTTGCCTTGTGCCCCAGGCTGAGGGCTTATCCTGCAGCCTGAACGCCTTGGGAGGCCTTTGAAGATTGACTTCCTGCTTTATTAACAAATATGCACTGGGTTTTGGGTTTCTGGTGTTTTGTTTTGTTTTTACCGTTCGTGCCCACGGTAGACTATATAGAAGAGTCAGAAAAGTATAAAGAACAAGGTCCCTTACTAGTTTCTGTTCCCAGAGGTAACAGCTGGAGTGACGCCTGGCGGTTGCCGGGTTTTCGGGGGTGCACAGCTGGACACCATCTCTCTCCGGTGAGCCAGCAAGGGCCCGACTGATGCCCCACCTTGGGAACCTGAGTCGGGGCAAGGGGCCTGGGGCGCCCAGGGAGCAGATGACCAGTCAGGCGGGCTAAGTCGGTCGCGGCCCCGCCCTCTCCACCCAGGCTCCCGGGCCGTCTCAGGTCGCGCCAGCAGGCCCAGACCCCACCGCGCGGCGCGCGCACGTCCTGGAGGGCACCCAGGAGGCGGCGGCTCCCGCAGACCCGGGAGGGCGCCCAGGGGGCGCCGCTTCCCCTTCAGCTTCGCTGTGGGGCTGCTCCAGCCCGCGCGGATCGGAGCAGAAAGAGTCGGGCAGAGCAGGCGGCGGCGCAGGCGGCTGCCTGACAGCTGTGAGCCGAGCGGGTGGCGCGGGCAGGTCCACGGGAAGCCTACACGCCCAAGGTAAAGTGGAGGAAGGTGGAGGGTGGGCGCTCGGGGCAGCCGGCGGGCGGCGCTTCCTGCCTGCTCCTCCGGCTGCGAAGTGTGAGCGGCGTGTGCAGCACATGGAGTTCGCAGAGGGCCTGTCTGGAGGTTGTGCGCCCTTGGGTGGGAACAGCTGGCTCCCCTGCCATCCCCAGGCCTGGCCCGGCCTTTGCGCCCCTCCCTGTCACTCGGTAACGGGACTGGAGGGGAGCCGAGAAGCACTAGGGTTTGGATCAGGAAAGGACCTTAAGAATCCTCCAGCCTCATCCAGCCTCTTCATTTCACAGATGAGTAAACTGAGGCACAGGAGGTAAAGTGACTTGCCCAAGGTCACAGGTCTAAGAACCGAAACCCCTACCTTGCAGGTCAGTGCTGCTAGGAGCCCTGGCCACGCAGGCAGCATCCACAGCTGTTGCCATGCTAGAAACAAAGAACAGAGACAGACAGTCAGAAAGACACACAGAGAGAGAACCTCCCAGAGCACAGGAAGGAGATCAGGAAGTGGGCCGCTGCTGGGGCTTGGCTTCCGCTGGCTGTGTGGCTCAGCAGCCTCGTGCTGACTCTGTCCGTGTGTGTGTGTGTGTGCATGTGTGTGTGTGTGCGCGCCCGTGCACACGCATGCATGCATGGGATGCAGCGAATGTACCCTGCCACGTGGGAAAGATCTCTGAGTTCATTTATCTGTTTACACAGTGTGCTTGGGAACCTGCCCTGTTTGGCTCTGTGGAGGACACCAGGAGACTCAAAACAATTCTTTCTGTGTGACTCCAGAGGACAGAAAGGGCTGATCTGTGGGAGTCCCCAGGGCGGTCAGAGGTCAAGAGGAAGAACCTAACTCATGAGGTGGTGGATTCCTTGCCTCTGGAAGAAAACAGCATGCACCAAAGAGTCTTTTTATCAAGGATGTGGGCATAGGGATATGACATCAGGGCAGCTCGTTTCACAGAGAATCAGCATTTTAGTTGGAGGGTCCAGAGTTCATGCCCCTTTTCAGGTGAAGTTAACCTGCACAACCTCGTGGGGTAGTATTTGCATACAAGCTACTTTATGCACAGTTTTTGAATCATAAGTGAGAGGCCTCATGTATGGCCTCCGAGGTCCTGTCACCTCTCAGTTCTATACTATAAAGCGTGTAGAGGGAGTTTGGAGGAGAGACGTTACTTCTGGAAGGAGTGACTCACGGAGGACACCCTGGATGTGGCACTGAGGCCGGGCCTTGAAGAGGAGGCTGAGTCTGGGCATCTTGGGGAAGGACGCCCAAGCGAACCCGTGAAGGTCCGATGTACCTGAGGAGCAAGGAAGAGTGTAGTGGGCAATCCGGCGAGGAGTGCCACCTGGGAGAGATGGCAGAGTCTTGGGGTGTGAGGAGTCTAGGAATTCATTATTAAGCCTAGGGATATTTTTTTCCCATTTATTTATTTTATTGCATTTTAGGTTTTGGGTTACATGTGAAGAACATGCAAGATTGTTGCATAGGTACAGACGTGGCAGTGTGATTTGCTGCCTTCCTCCCCATCACCTACGTCTGCCATCTCTCCCCTTGCTATCTCTCCCCAACTCCCCACCCCCCACCGTCCCTCCCCTATTTCCCCCCAACTGACTCCAGTGTATAGTGCTCCCCTCCCTGTGTCCATGTGTTCTCATTGTTCAACACCCGCCTATGAGTGAGAACATGCGGTGTTTGATCTTCTGCTCTTCTGTCAGTTTGCTGAGAATGATGGTTTCCAGGTTTATCCATGTCCCTACAAAGGACACGAATTCATCGTTTTTGATGGCTGCATAATATTCCATGGTGTATATGTGCCACATTTTCCCTGTCCAGTCTATCATTGATGGGCATTTGGGTTAAGAAAATCTAGGCAAAACCATTCAGGACATAGGTGTAGGCCTAGGGATCCTTTGATGGTTTCTGAGAAGGGAAGTGATGTTCCTGGAGCTGGGTTCAGAAGAACGTGTCTGCAGCAGTGTATGGGATATACTGCCATGGTGGAAGCTTTGGGAAGAGAACCTTGGAAGAACACCACTGCAGTGACCTTGAGGGGCTGAACAGGGCCTCTGGGAATGGAGAGGAAGGGGCTAAAAGGCTTGGGGATGGGGGAAAAGTCATCTGCTATGTCCCAGGGCCTGTGGTAGGAGATTTTCATGTTTAATCTCATTGAATCCTCATGACCACCTCATGAGGAGATTGCTATGATTGTCCCATATTGTAGAGGAGGAAACAGAGTCAGAGAGGTTAAGTGGCTTATCCAAGGCCATCCAGCACATAAGTGGTGGGATGGGGATGCAAACCCAGAGAACGACAGAGTGAATGCAATCTGCTAACTGAATAAATGTGAGGAACTAGAGCAGAAGAGACCAAGAAGATGGCGATTCGTATTCCAGAGTTGGCGTGGCCGGTGGTGCCGCTGACGGAGATGGAGCCCCGGCGTGCTGGGTGACTGGAGATGCGTCAGCCTGCGGTGAGCCTGCAGGAGGCAGGCCCCAGCACCGGGGCAGTGGCCGCAATAGCCATCCATTTTGTCTTGGGGCTCCTTGTCGCAACGTTTGCCGAACCTGCTGTGGAGAAGGAGGGTTGAACCTGCAGGCCGCCTGGGTACTGGCAACGCTGCGGAGAAGCTGGTCGGGGGCAGGACTCATGAGGGACTCCTCAGGGACCGGCTAATCACCCCCTGAGCTCACGTCGCTATCTTGCTTTTGTTCCACACAACGTGGCGTCTATTCCGTTGCAATGCACAGAGGACTCAGACACTCGCCATGATACCTAATGCGAGAACTACTTCAGATTTCATATTTTCCAAGGCCCTGGTTCCCTCCTATGTGTCCCCCATAGAAGAACTAAAAGATGCAACTGTCAAATATTGCAGAATATTGCAGAATTCAGGATCCTAAGAGCAGGTCCAGAGCCTCTTACAATGTCATAGAATCATGGTGTTCTAGAGACAAGTGTGCCCCATTTTACAGATGGAGAAACTGAGTCTTTGCGAAATCACTTGTCAGTTGGTAGTGAGTGGCAGAAATGGGTCCAGGCCCTTGGGCTCCAGAGGTTTTGCTTTCTCCACTGACACATAGAGAGGCTGCTGTCTTGGAGGGGAGCCTCCAGGGTTTCCCCTAAAATAGCCCTGGGGGCTGGGCACGGTGGCTCACACCTGTATCCCCAGCACTTTGGGAAGCTGAGGCGGGTAGATCACCTGAGGTCAGGAGTTTGAGACCGGCCTGACCAACATGGCGAAACCTCGTCTCTACTACAAATACAAAAATTAGGCGTGCTGGCAGGCCCTGTAATCCCAGCTATTTGGGAGGCTGAGGCAGGAGAACTGCTTGAACCCAGGAGGTGGAGGCTGCAGCGAGCTGAGATCAAACCATTGCACTCCAGTCTGGGCAACAAAAGTGAGATTCTGTCTCCAAAAAATAAAAATAAAAAAATAAAATAAATAGCTCTTGGGACAGTTTTATAGAGAGCTCTAGCAATCGATGGACCATTTCAAACTGGTACACTTTTTGTTCCTGCCAACACAACACACACACACACACACACACACACACACACACAAAGAAACAGCAATAACAGGAGCAACAAACCCCAGCATATTGTTGCATTCATCCTTCTATTGGTCATTTCTTTGACTTTTCCAATTGTTTCCTTCCTCTGAGAGAAATTTGATAAGGCAGTTTGGTTAGAGCCATAAAGGGTTCTGTCCAAGTACAGGGTCAGGGGGAGACCCCCGTAAAGCCAGACAGTACCTGTGTGCACTACCAGAGTCCTAAGGTGCGGACAGGGAAGCAGGAAAGGAGAGGACAGCTGTCAGGGTGGAGGAAGGAGCAGGAAAGACAACGTGCAGAGAAAAAGGAAAAGAGGAAAAACTGAGTGTGTGGAACAGACATGCCAGTGGCGTGGGCAGAGCCCACTTTGGGGACCTATATTTTGGGAACCTGGCTCCCCAGTACTCAGAGGCAGCATGAAGCAAGGGAAGAACCGGGTGGACATGAAGAAGCCAAAGGGAGTCAGCCTCATATCATCCAACCTTGGGCTCTCCCGGGAGTGAAAGCGAGGATATCCATAGCAATGCTGGGACCACAGGCATACGCCAGGATGTCCCAGGCAAACTGGTCACCTTCACAACAGCAATGCACAGAAAGTGCCAGGCATGGCTCAAGGCCGTCCATGTATTCCCTTGTGTAAGCCTCACTACAACCCAATCGGCTAGGCACTGCCATCATGCCCATTTTACGGAAAAGTTAACTGAGGAAGAGAGAGGCATAGTATCATGTCCATGGTCACACCGCCAATACATGGTAGAGGCAGGAGTTGAACCAAGGCAGCTTGGCTATTTCAGAGCTTGTGCCATAAGCATCATGCTCCATTGGCTCTCCACTCACCAACAGCATCCACACAAAGACATCCTGTTCCCCTCACATGACCAGCGGAGGGACCTTTGGGGTCTGTTTCCCCTCACAGCGGCTTTAACTGGTTAGCATGATGTCATCCGGATGACATAAACGAGGATGCTTTTAGGCTGAGGTGAGGGGAGCAGGCCCTCATTGGTGTTTGTCCTCTGCAGGCTCCACGCCTTGACACAGTGCTGGGTCTTGGCCTCAGGTCTTGGAGTTCTCAGTCATTCTTGCCTGTAATCTGCCCTTTCACTGAAGACTGAATTAGATATAGGAAGGATCTCCTGAAGTTCCGTGTTAGGGACGGTTCCGAAGGACCTTATCTGCCTGGGGCAGCTAGAGGGTGCCACCGTGTGATGACAAAGTTATCTCCAGGGCTCTTCCAGCTTGAGGGCTATAGAATTTTCTTTTGTGACAGATTCTTCTGGAGGTAGTGCGTCCCCATCGTCAGTGTGTTTTGGCTCCCAGCCCTGGCTTTCCCAGAATGCCAGCGGGACACTTCCTTCCCTTGTCTGTTTGTTGACACATCCGGGATGGGGCTGATCAAGGGAGGCATTCATGGGGCAGCAGGCTTTGTGGTGGGTGGAGTCTGGCTCTGGGTGGTGCTCCAGGGTTTCTAGAAGATGCAGGGAGGTAGGAGTGGGCAGGATTCCCCCGTGGTTCAGATTCCAAGGGCCTCGGTCCCCACCCCGTCTGTGCTGAAGGTGCCTTATTCACACAATACAGCTGCTCTGCCTGGGGCTGGAAAAATGTGAGGCTGGGCCGGAGAACTTGTGGGAAGGTGGAAATGGTGCTTTACCCAAGTAAGTTCCAGCAGTGAGGCTGGATCGGCTCCACACCCAGCCCTGTGCTCGTAGTGTACCCCTGAGCCTGTGGAACTCTGTGCCCTTCTGGGCTTGGTGAGAGGAAAGATGAGAAGGGTGAGACGTAGCACACACGTTACAGGTGCACCAGGACACGATGGAACTAGCGGGTGTGCGGCCCTCCTCCCGGACCTGCACTTGTGCTCCGGACCAGCTTCCTTTCCTCCTTTTTAACTCACAGCAGCACCAGGGAAAGTGGGAGGGTGGCTACAATGACCCAATTAGCAGTGCATAGAAGAGGAAAATCTCCTATTGCCTGGGCGATTGGTTTATTTTCACTTTATTTACTTTAGAGATTGCTCAGCATTGAGCTCCAGGATTTGTAGCCCGCCAGAGT